ACTAAGCCACCCAGGCGCCCCTGAGGCTAGGTTTTTTTTTTTTTTTTTTTTAATTTTTTTTTCAACATTTTTTTTTTTTTGGGACAGAGAGAGACAGAGCATGAACGGGGGAGGGGCAGAGAGAGAGGGAGACACAGAATCGGAAACAGGCTCCAGGCTCTGAGCCATCAGCCCAGAGCCTGACGCGGGGCTCGAACTCACGGACCGCGAGATCGTGACCTGGCTGAAGTCGGACGCTTAACCGACAGCGCCACCCAGGCGCCCCAAGGCTAGGTTTTGAGGACAGAGAAGGAAGGGTGTAAGAAGTCACAAGTCCACAGTAGTGGTGTCCTCTTTCTTTTCCAGCCACACTAATTCCTGCTGTTTGTTGTCAGATGGTGACCGCAGGGGGCCGGAGCATGCGCTTCCGCCGCCCTCCTTGAAGCACTTCTTTCCTTACAGGCTCAGTCGCTCAGTTGCTCAGTCTTGAGGCGTTAGCTACAATCACCTGGACTCACTCTCTGAGGCAGAAATCCTCTCTTTTTCAGATAGCAGCCAGCCGCGAGCGGGGGACATCTGAACATCAGGGGATGAATTTGCAAGGTGTTCAACAAGTAAGGACATGGGGTGTCCTGCCAGGGAGCCTTGTGGGCTGAATGGGGAGCCTGCTTCCAGCCAGCAGAAAACTTGGCTTGCCGCACTGCAATTCTAAATTGGGTCCTTTACTGAAAGAGCGGGGCTTAATAAGGAAGTTATGCTACTGTGGAAAAAATAAATAGGGAGGGAAGACTGAGAGAGTCCTTTATTGTTTTATTTTTTTATTTTTTTTCAACGTTTATTTATTTTTTGGACAGAGAGAGACAGAGCATGAACGGGGGAGGGGCAGAGAGAGAGGGAGACACAGAATCGGAAACAGGCTCCAGGCTCTGAGCCATTAGCCCAGAGCCCGACGCGGGGCTCGAACTCACGGACCGAGAGATCGTGACCTGGCTGAAGTCGGACGCTTAACCGACTGCGCCACCCAGGCGCCCCAATCCTTTATTGTTTTAAGGGACAGTGCAGGATAATAGGGCTGTGCCCGCTGATTATCCTTATCTGAGTTTTTGTAACAGCTTAACCAACAAGCTGATTGGGTGACAGCTGTTACAGTCTTCGGAGTTTCCCCAGGCCTGGGGAATTAAAGGACTGTGCTGGAAGGGAAGCTATTTTTTCATAAGAGTTTCAGGGTTTCCAGGCTGACTGGAGGCCTCAGGGGGAGATGAGGGCTCATCATTGATGACGGCCCCTGGCCCAGGCGATGACAGATGAGAAGAGTCTGGAGTGCAGATCCCCAGCCCCACACTCCGCCCAGGAAAAGGGTCTTACTTGGCCACAGTTGCTCCCCTCAGGGAAGAAAGTGAGGGCAGTGGCCTGGTTAGGAGCTGTGCTCCTGGTTAGGTCCCTTAGGTTCCTCCTGGAGCTGGACCCCAGCTGCAATCAGCCCCTCACTCCTGCTTTGTTGTCGGGGTGTACCAATTCTCTCCTGCCTCCACCCAGTTCTTTAGAAGGGCCCAGGAGTCAGCCCTGACAAATGTCTGTGCGTTAGTGTTCAGTAGAGATAACAATTAAGATTAAAAAAAAAAAAGTAAGTAGTCAAGGCCCAAACCCACTGGTTTATCCTTACCTTTTACTGACATTCGAGAGATCTCCTTGGTTTGACAGACACTAAGCTTCTTCCCAGATTTGTGGTGCTGTGATTAAAGCCGAGTGAACCCCCATTTCTGCCTAGGAATTCTTTGCAAAGAATTCCAGCTGCAAAGCTTTCAAGGTCTTCCCACAATGCCCCCCATCTGCCTCCCTCTCCAGATCTCTCCAGGCTCCCGCCTCTCTTCCTGACACTGCAAGCTCCAACTTTGGGGCTCTTCCCTGTGGATCACCTCTAATTTCTCACTGACAAATCTGGTCCCCTGCTCATCTCCTGCTCTTTTGGAATGTCTCACCTCACTTTTCTCCACTGTCACATGTGAATTAGAGGTAGCAGGAGGTAGGGAGTTGTAGTGGAGGATTTTCGAGGTCTCTCTCAGCCCTGACATTCAGGGGGTCTACCAAGGGCAAAGGCATCACATAAGTGCATGTGTGTGTGTGTGTGTGTGTGTGTGTGTGTGTGTGTGTGTGATGTGTGTGTGGTGTGTGTGGGGTTTTGTATAATATAGTTAAGGCGTGGCTCCTGTCCTCAAGGAGTTTCTAGTTGAGTTGATCTGATGCGTACATAAAAAGCTCCTGATGATTTAAGGAAGGTATCCTATAAGTGAGGTGCATAAAGTTATCAGAGTTCCCCAGAATTTCAAGGAAATGAGAGATTCCCTCTGGAGGCAGAGGAGGGTGTTGGTGAAGGAATAAAATAGGATTCCCCAGGCTCTTTCCCAAGGCTGGCGGTACAGATGGCTTTGGCCTCCTGCCCAAAGTAGCCTAGTTATCTGCCTAGTCCCCATCCCGTGGGTAAGCCATCTCCTACTAGATATCCTGCTGGAAGGGAAATCTGTCCATGGATCCCCAGACTCATACCCTTTGAATTGGTGCCCTTTATTAAATCTTTTTTGCCTTCTTTATAAATGTTTTACTTATTTTAGAGAGAGAGTGCAAGTGGGGGAGTGACAGAGGGGGACATAAGATCTGAAGCAGGCTCTGCACTGACAGCAGCAAGCCCAATGCAGGGCTGGAACCCATGAACCTGGAGATATGGCCGGAGTCAAAGTCAGATGTTCAACCGACTGAGCCACCCAGACACCCCAGATCTTTTTTGCCTTCTATTTTTTTTTTTAAATTTTGTTTTTGAGAGAGACAGAGAGACAGACAGACAGACAGAGACAGAGTGTGAGTGGGGGAGGGGCAGAGAGCGAGGGAGACACAGAATTGGAAGCAGGCTCCAGGCTCTGAGCTGTCAGCACAGAGACTGATGTGGGGCTCGAACTCACGAACCTTGAGATCATGACCTGAGCCGAAGTTGGACACTTAACCAACTGAGCCACCCAGGCGCCCCGGTCTTTTTTGCCTTCTTGATCATACTGCTAATAACATTTATTATTAATGTTAATAATATATTTATTGTTATTAGTATGACTATTTGTTAGACACATTGCTAAGCGCTTCCCATGCATCATTTCACTTATTCCTTACAACAGTGTTTTAGGTGGCTATGAATATGATTATTATCCCAGTTTACAGATGGAGAAAATGAGGATGAGAAGTTGAGTGACCCATCTTACATCCCATGGGTAATCAGAAACAGAGACATTTTAACTCAGGTTTCTTCCTATTTATCTCCTACTCATTGCATAAATATGAGGCCTCAACTACACAAAAGCACAGAAATCTTGAAGCAGAGAACAGGGGGAAGAGAAAGGGACATGGCAGGAGCCATGACTGGGAGTATGGATTAGGGCCAAGGCAGAGGGACAAAAAGTACAGTCTGAAAAGCCAAGGTTAAGGCTGGAAAAGCTCTCCCTGAGAGGGGCTGGGTGTCAGGATTGGGATGACCAAGAAGTAGGATCAGGCAGAGGGAGAACCTCCAAACAGGGAGTCTTTCAAGGATCCCCATGTGGGCCACGCTGGGAGCTTGAACAGGAGGCCTTCAAAGGCAGTTCTCACTTTGCAGCCCTGGGATTCTGTGAACTCTGGGTGTAGCTTTTAGAGCTGGACCTCACCCCAGTCATCTGTCTGGTCACTGAATTCCATCTTCTCCCTGCTACAGAGGAGGGAGGCAAGAGCATTGTGATTAGAGTGCACCCAAGGCCATTGGACTGCTTGGGTTTGAATCTTGGTTTCTCCTCTACTTCCGAGCTGTGATTTTGGACAATTTGTTTTTCTGGGTCTGAGCACACATTGATTTGGGAGCAAGCCTCAGCTTGAATCCTAAGTCCTGTAACCTTGGGCAATTTACCTCATGGCTCATTTCCTCATCAGTAAATAAAAAATATAATACTTGCCTCATAGGATCATTATAAGGATAGGAGGATTAAATGTTTATGTTTGTAAAGCATTTATAACACTGTCTGGCACGTTTTTGTTTTTTTATTTTTATTTTTGACTGCATGTTAAAAACTTGTCTACAATCCGTTAAATGTAGCACACAGCACAATTTCATTGTTAGCTGTTTACATGTGGGTCTTCTTTGCGCTCCACTTGCTGCGAAGGGCAGAAAACAGATTCAATCCATCTTTGGCCGTAGCCCACTGACTGATTCCTGTTTGGTGCTCAATAAAGTGACCAGTTTGAAGTAAACCAGGAGACAGTAGCATGGGCAGCAGAGAGCTGCCCAGATAAGCAGATCTTAAACTGCTGATTGAGTGTAGGGGAGGAACAATTCTCCTCTTTCTGGAATATTTGAAGGGGCTCGGATACTGACTAGAGAGAGGCTATGAGACCCTCGAAGAGGTGGGACAAACAGCCCAGTGTTTATGTAAAGAGCAGGGCTTTGGAACCAGTGATCAGAGCCAGTTCTCTTACGTGTAAAATAGATCAGTATCCAATAAAATGAGGTAACAATAGTAACGACTATTTACTGAGCACATTCCAAGTGGACAGGCACCAGCTAAGTATTTGTCATGTCCATTCACAAATGAGGCTGGGTGAGGTTAAGCGACCTGCCCAAAGACACAAAGCAATAAAATGGAAGAGTCAAGACTCGAATCGAGGTGTGACCTGGCGCACCTAAGCGCGATTCAAACAATAAGAGCCACTTTAAGACAATCGGCTTATGAATAGCGGCAACACAAGGAAAGCACGGCTGCTCTTCAACGCTACTACCGGCACACACGCCCCGGCGCGAGGAGAAAGTTCCGCCGCCTTTCGGAGCTTACGTGCGCTCCGTGACCGCAGCTGCTGACGAGGGGCAGGCGGACGAGACCGCATGCGCTCTGGCGCCCTCGAGCGCGCCCCTCCCCCACGGCGGCTGCAGCGCTGGCACGGGGCGCATGCGCACACCCGGCGGGCGGAGGGCGGCCCAGAGCGAGTGGAAAGATTTGGAAGAGCAAGTGCGCGGGAGCTGGGCGGTGGAGTGCGAGCGCGCAGGCGCGGCTGGGGCCGGACAGCGACTCCGGAATCTCAGCGAGTCCCACTCTGCGTCGCACCCCGAGCCGCCACCATGGCCGCCTATAAGCTGGTGCTGATCAGGCACGGCGAGAGCGCTTGGAACCTGGAGAACCGCTTCAGCGGCTGGTACGACGCCGACTTGAGCCCTGCCGGGCACGAGGAGGCGAAGCGCGGCGGGCAGGCGCTGCGAGGTGAGGAACGGGCCGGGGCGGGCTGTGGGTTGGGGCTGCGGAGGCTCGGGCGGGCGCCCCTGGTTGAGGGCCGCCTGGCTCGTCCCCGTACCCTCGCGGAGAGGGCTGACCTTGGGCTTCAGCTCTCCTGCAGTTTATTTTGCGGTTGGCAAAATGGTTTCAGGGTGTGTGTGCGGGGGGGGGGGGGGGGGTGGACTTGCTCAAGGTCACCCAGTGGTGTGATGGGCCACGCCGGGAAGAGGACTGGGGGCGGTCGCCCCGCAACCCACTGCATCCTCCACGACACCGCCTTGGCGAAATTCTCCCATTTACTAATCTGAGCATTCAGTAACTCGGGGACGGGTTATTAAATTGGATGGCCGGTGTCTTCCGGGAGCTGTAACCAAGCCTTTTCAAGAGGCTGCTGCGGATCCTCGTGAAGCGTCAGACCACACGCTTGTCCCCGGCTGTGGGGGAGTAACGCGGCGCTGGGCGGACAACAGGCCTCACGAAACCCACGTGCTTATGTAGGCCTTTGCTGTTCAGCAGCATCCCACGAATCTTGTGCCCCGAATGCATCCACAAATGTAATTGAGTGAATGAATGAGTGAATGAATGAATAATTTGAGTTGTCCTCTGCACGATTCCATGAAGTAGATTATTATCCCCTTTCTTTCCCTCCCTGGCCCTCTTCTATAGCTGGGAAAAGTGAGGATTGCATAGATGACTTGTTCAAGGTCGTTATCTCCTTATTCCTAGTCCATCCCGCTCGCTCCAATTCTGGGTTGAGTAACAGGTAGACGCTGGGCAAAGGTGGAAGTGGCAGTGAGATAAACTCGCCTACCCAGGCTTGCCCCCTGCGGCGAACAGCTCTTTGTGGTTTTGGAATGCTTTTTATAAGGAAGCATTCTCAGCTGCCAGCAACTCAGAGAATCCCTCTGTACTGAGGAGGTGCTTCCACTGATGTAATTAGGGCAGATCTTGCCCTGCGCTCTTCTAACCTCTGGACGTTGAAGTAGCCATTTGAAAGGGTTATTGATGCCTGATGTGGAACAGGTATTTGGCCTCAGGTTACTCTTCCTAGCTTCTTGCCTTCACCGTAGATTCTTTTGAATTGAAGCAAAGGTTTGGAAAGTGTAGGAAATGTAATCCTGCCGGCTGTGTGTCTGCTTTGAGATGGCTTGGTGTGACTTACATTTAGGAGAGGCTGGGAAAGGGAAAGAGCTGGGAAAGGAGGCCATTTTCTCTGTGTTTGGCAGGAAGAACTGTATGGGTCTGTGGTGGTTTGCTGATGACTAGCCCAGGACAAAGATAATTGCAGCTGTACCCTAAAAGAGTGATCAAATGGTTAAACTTGTAATCTCTTTAAAGTAGCAGACCCTATTTCAAGATTTTGTTGTTGTTGATTTATTTTTAGTAATCTCTACATCCAACGTGGGGCTGCAAGTCAAGGACCCCGAGATCAAGAGTTGCATGCTCCACCGATTGATCAGCCAGGCACCCCCTATGTCACTTTCTAAGTAAATGTTGGTAGCGTTAGTTTAAAAAAAAAAAAATCCTATTTAAAAGATTAGTATCTGTTATGGGCATCACAAATGATTATATTAAACAAGACTAAAAGCAGAAATCTGAATCGTGAAGACCATTGTGAATAATATAAAAAACCTAAATATATTAAATTCTTCAGAGCTTTAAATGATAGTAGGGTTTATAAACTCTTGAATCGTTTCAGGAGGGAACTAGTGAGAACTGAGTTTCTCCATGCAGCCTTACTCCTGGGAGAGGATGAGGTCCACACCACATATCACACCATCCACCCCACACGTGGGAATATCCTAGGCTATGCTTTTATTTAATGGGGAAGTTCTCCTGAGTGGAACTGCTTTTCTTCTTGGGGACCTATTTGTGTATCCAACAGGAGGCACTCCATCACAAGGGGAAATAATAATTGCAGTGAAACAGCCAGTAGCTTTTCAGCATGGGAGATGAGGCTTGCACTTGCCAGTGACTCAGCCTTTTATTGGGGAGCCATTCCTCCCCTTATAGTTAGGGAGGAAATGGTAATGGAGTCTACTAGGACTTGTCCTGAGGTTCAGTGATGAGATTTGATGAGATTTGTCATCTTTTCCCCTGTGGGTAGTGATGGGTTTCCTGGTGATTAATCCTCCCCTCCTCCATCAGCGTAGTTCTTATTGGCCTCATTCTCAGTTGAACGACTGGCAGAATTCACTTCACGTTGCATTAATTACTGTTGGCAACCTCAGTATGAGGCAATACCCAGGAAAGTTTGTGCTGAATTTCAAAGAGGGCCTTGTAGCCTCATGGAGGAAAACACTACATAAAGGGCCATCTCCCTTTTAAAGTGGGAAGGGGGGATAATCTTCCACGAACTAAGAAGATTAATTGTTGGGGTGGTTGGGGCAACATAACTTGATTACTACGCCTTAATAACTACTGTATGAGGAGAGATTTGTGTCTAAATGAGTCAGACTGCTCAGCATTTGCTCTTTCTGCTTTCTCCAGGGAGTGGCTTCTCCTGAACTTGGTCTAACAGTTGACCTAAGTGTGTACAGGTTGGCACTTGACTATAGCAGAAAGGCACCGTGGATTAAGAGACTGATGTGATTTCCACTACATAGTGAAAATACAATTTCATTCAACGTACTGAAGTTTTAATCAGCATCCTCTAAGAGCTCTTGCTGTGTCCTGATTGTTGGGTTTCAAATTGTTTTCCCGTAGACAAGAGGTTAGGTCTGAAATATATTTACTAGTATTGGGCAGAAGTGACTGTTTGTTTTTTTTTTTAATTTTTTTTTAACGTTTATTTATTTTTGAGACAGAGAGAGACAGTACAAACGGGGGAGGAGCAGAGAGAGAGGGAGACACAGAATCGGAAGCAGGCTCCAGGCTCTGGGCCATCAGCCCAGAGCCCGACGCGGGGCTCGAACTCACAGACCGTGAGATCGTGACCTGAGCCGAAGTCGGAAGCTTAACCGACTGAACCACCCAGGCGCCCCAGAAGTGACTGTTTTAACTAAAATACAAACAGATCCTTAGGGTTTAGAATAATATGGAGGTAGCTAGAGATGGAGGTTATGAGTTGGATTTTGGAGTCACACAGCTTGGGTTTTAATCTCTCATTTACAGCTGTGACCTTGGATGATTTGCTTAATCCCTCTAGTCTTTATTTTCCTCATCTGGTAAAATGGGTTGTAAGGATTATAATCTCAGGATTGTCATGAAGACTAAATAAAATGTATACAAAATAATTTGTATAGTGCTTGACAGATGGTAAGCCCTCCATAAATATTGGTTATTATTTAGTAAGAGATTCCAAGTTTTTAAGGATCCTTTTCTTGAAAGAATTGAAGCAGAAATAAGTTCTTAAAATGGGCTTAACACAGCATTCTGGGGTTTAGGATAAGCAGCACAGATGGCATAGGTTAGCTCCCTGACAATACATTTAGGTCTTGGGTTAGATGAATTATTGGGGAACCATTGGAAAGTACATTGTCAACTATAACATAAATCAACATATTTTGTCTTCTGTAAAGGTGGAATATTGTCTTTTTTTTCTAGGGTATACAAACTAGTTAAATTTAGATGTGAGAAAATTCTGGTTCCATAGTGGACCCGATTGGCTTATCACTTTGAATTTACGATTCCCAGATGCTGGCTATGAGTTTGACATCTGCTTCACCTCCGTGCAGAAGAGAGCAATTCGGACTCTCTGGACAGTGCTGGATGCCATTGACCAAATGTGGCTGCCTGTAGTGAGGACTTGGCGCCTCAATGAGCGGCACTATGGGGGTCTGACTGGCCTTAATAAAGCAGAAACTGCTGCCAAGCATGGTGAGGCCCAAGTAAAGATCTGGAGGCGCTCCTATGATGTCCCGCCACCTCCGATGGAACCCGACCATCCCTTCTACAGCAACATCAGTAAGGTATGGACAAATGGGTGTTTGGCTCATTCTGCCTAGGACCAGGGTGTTAGAACCTGGGCCTCACTCTTTTTTAGCTTTTAGTAGTGTCTGCTTGGTCCTATTGAGTTTTTTAATTTATGCTAGTTAATTGTTATTCTCCTTCTCCAAGGAATGGCCTTCACTTGTTAAAAAGATTTGGTTGATACTTGTTTACCTAAAAAGAAATTATTATCTTCTTTTTTGTATCTCCATTGCGATACCTTATAAAACCCATCCATAGTCGTAGGGCCTTTTAAAAAAAATTTTTTTTAATGTTTATTTACTTTTGAGAGAGGGAAGGAAGGAGAGGGGGAGGGACAGAGAGAGGGAGACACAGAAATCAAGAGCAGGCTCCAGGCTCTGGTCTGACAGCACAGAGCCCACATGGGGCTCGAACCCCACAAATTGTGAGATCATGGTCTGAGCTGAAGTTGGACACTTAACTGACTGAGCCACCCAGGCGCCCCTTAGAGTTGTAGGGCCTTCTTAAGCCAACTATTAAGATTAAGTGAATTGGGAAGAGCTTTATACCTACCTTTTTTCTTCTAAGTTCTGTTTCATTTGAACTGTTCATTTTCCCAATAGCGGGTAATGGTGGTAGGATGAGCAGCAAAATAATTCTTCTCCCTGTGACCAAACTCTCAGCTCCGTTCTGTGTCCTGGTGAAAGACCTTCACCTATCACTTTGATTCATACCTTAGGGGATGAGGAATGGGCAGAACAGATACAACTACTACTAATTGGTGAGCATGGATTTTTATTGTTTAGGATCGCAGGTATGCAGACCTCACTGAAGATCAGCTACCCTCCTGTGAGAGTCTGAAGGACACAATTGCCAGAGCTCTGCCCTTTTGGAATGAAGAAATAGTTCCCCAGATCAAGGAGGGGAAACGGGTCCTGATTGCAGCCCACGGCAACAGCCTTCGGGGCATTGTCAAGCATCTGGAGGGTATGTACGTTTTTCAGTGGCGCCCTCCAGGAGGGACACAGCAAAACTGCCACAAATCGGATTTATTTCATGCAAAAGAGATCTTCAGGGAAAGGCTGGACACATTGATAGTCCCTCAGTTTGCATCTTAAATTGGTTCACCTGAGGGCCTAGAGGCCTAGATGTGCTGATTTTTTTCAGACTGGATGGACTACACAGGACATTTGAGATGTGTATAGTCCTGCTTCACTGTGGGTTTTCAAACCCCACTTTGGGAGAGATATCTGCGGTATACCACCTTACATACTTTTTTTCTTTTCAGTGGCTGAGAACTAAGTATTGGAGGCATTCTTTGGGTGACTGATCTATAATACAGATTGTTACTGTTACTATAAATATCAGAAGGGGTGTCTTGTTTTAATTCCTACCAAAGTCCTTTGTCACCTGCAGGGGGGACATGGATTCGTGTCTAGCTTGGCTTATCATGGTGTGTATTTCCTTCAGGTCTTTCTGAAGAGGCTATCATGGAGCTGAACCTGCCAACAGGTATTCCCATGGTCTATGAATTGGACAAGAACTTGAAGCCCATCAAGCCCATGCAGTTCCTGGGGGATGAAGAGACCGTGCGTAAAGCCATGGAAGCTGTGGCTGCCCAGGGCAAGGCCAAAAAGTGAAGGCGAGCAGGCAGACTATTTTTCCAAGGACACCCTCCCTACCCATCCCGTTCCTCCACATTTCTTCCCTGCACATGTCACACTGACCACATCTGTAGGCATCTTAAGTTTTAGCTGCAGATGGGGACCAGTGGCTCCTAATTTTGTTTAGCTATTTGTCTCTTGCACCCACTCTCTTCATATAGTCTAGTCAGAATGACACTTCTGGGGCATGAGTCTTCAGTCCCAAGCTGAGGGAAGACTTTTACCCAAAAGTAGAGAGTTAGTAACTCTGGTGTTTTTGCTACTGTTTATTGAGTTGGGGATAGGAAGGAACCATGCTAAGATGTGACCAATGAGAAGTAAGAGAGCCTATTTGTGTTCCCAGGAGCCAGTCCTGTACTATTCTGTAGTCTGGTGACTGTCTGGGGGGGCTCCAGTCATTCCAGTGAAAGAATCATTTCCCCTCTGACCCCAGAAGAGTTGGCTCCAGAAGACTGGGATCAATTTAAATGTTTTGTGTTGCATCTACTTTTACAAAAAGAAAAAAAAAAGTGTATATATATATATATATATATATACACACACACACACACACACACACACACATATATAAAATAATACAAACCAAAAACCCTTCTGGGGTTTCTAGTTGCGGTTGAAATATTCCCACATGCAGTCATCCCAAAATAAGCCATTCCTCACACCAACGTGGGAGAAGCCCCTTGACTTCTGAGGCCTAGGAGTTTATCCTGCTGTGTGTTTTAGAATCCCTCCCCTGCCTTAATGTTTTATGGCAGTGAAATGCCTCTTGATCACGTCCAAGCGTGTCTTTTACTGTATATGTTTCTGATCATGTTCCAGTTGCTTGGTCCTGCCACCTGGGCCCAGTACTCATTTTGAGCGTAACTATACTAAATCTTTTTTCCAGATCAGTATAATAAAGGAGTGATGTGCAATATCTTCTGTGTGATGTAGTAATCTCTCATTTGAGAAGATCAGCTTGAACATTAAACTGGGTGTGTCTTACTAGGGTTTTCCACCTTAGGTTGGGGAGCTGAAGTGTGGGGGTGGGCAGGTCTTCCTGGCTGAGCCCTCCATTCCTGTTGCCTCTATAGCACTTGCTCAGTGTGCTGGCTGAATACTCCTTGAGTGGTCAAATTCTCAAACTCCATTATGCCTTCTGAGTAAGGTAAAGGCTTGTTTACCTTAAAAAAGCTAACCTTTTTCTATTAGAAATCTGTAAACTTGGTGCCTGGGTGGCTCAGTTAAGCATCTGACTTCAGCTCAGGTCGATTTTGAGGTTTGTGAGTTTGAGCCCCACATCAGGCTCACTGCTGTCAGCCTGATTCAAATCCTTTGTCCTCTCTTTGCCCCTCCCCTTGCTTGTGCTCTCTCTCAAAAATTAAAATCTGTAAACTTGATTCACACTTCATCCTCAAAAATGGCACATAACTGTATAATAAAATGATGCAGAAGAAAAGGACTATTACATTGTATACGTAATCGGGAAGGGACATTGCTCACATTTTCCTTCTCTTTAAAGCTTTTCAAAGATAATGAACATGAAAGCCTACAAGGCAAGAGAAACCCCATAATACCTTTCTTCTACTAGGAGCAAGTAACACCCTCAGTCTGTTAAGCTCTCATGAAGCTCCTCTATGCCAGCTACATAACCTCTAATCTTGACAACCTCTGAAACGGCTGGTATCCTGAATTTACAGAAGAAATAGACTGAGAGAGATGTAGAAACTTGCCAAATATATACTACTAAGTACTGGAACCCAGATGAAAGATGTTGAACAGAAGTCCTTATCCTAAAATGTAAATACTAATCATCTTGCTTTTCAGGTTTAGTTTTTCAGTTGATCTATAACCCTAGGATGACCTTTAGTAATTTAAGTCTCCAACAGTCTGGTGGAATGTTAAGTTTACTTGGCCTATAATGAATCTTAAACCAAAAGTTGATCATTTTCTTTGAGGCTCTTCGCCCAAGTCAGACTGGAGCAGCTTAGATCAGAGTCCCTCTATATCCTGACATAGCAGTCTTCAGTCGTTGACTAGAACTCTTGTGGCAGGAAAGTAACAGAAAACCAGCATTATTTATCATTACTACCAGAAGGCCAGCAACCACTGTACCTCTAAGACTGCTTACCCAGGGTAGCACATCATAATCACCCATGGAGCCGAAAGAAAAACCCAAACATCTGTTGTGGGTTTACCTCATGAGATTCCAAAGCAGAGCTAGGGTTCTGTTGTTTTTTAAGCTTTATAGGCAATTAAAAATTTTTAATTTTTTTTTAACGTATGTCTATTTTTGAGAGCGAGAGAGCGAGCGAATGGGGAAGGGGCAGAGAGACAGGGAGACACAAAATCCAAAGCAGGCTCCAAGCTCTGAGCTGTCAGCACGGAGCCCGACGTGGGGCTCAAACTCATGAACCATGAGATCATGGCCTGATCTAACCGACAGAGCCACCCAGGTGCCTGCCCCACTTCATAGACAATTCTGAGGTTCATCTAACCCAGGCTAAGAACCGCTATTCCAACACAGAGAAATTCTTGTCTTTAGAACCAATTTTAGATTAGTGAATATCACTAAACATCACTATTTAGGCATAGTTGTCAGCTATGAGAACACTCAAAAAAAATTTTGGGGGCGCCTGGGTGGCGCAGTCGGTTAAGCGTCCGACTTCAGCCAGGTCACGATCTCGCGGTCCGTGAGTTCGAGCCCCGCATCAGGCTCCGGGCTGATGGCTCAGAGCCTGGAGCCTGTTTCCGATTCTGTGTCTCCCTCTCTCTCCGTCCCTCCCCCGTTCATGCTCTGTCTCTCTCTGTCCCAAAAATAAATAAACGTTGGAAAAAAAAAATTTTTTTTTATGGTGCTTTTGCTATGTGTTAGTCACAATACCAGGTACTGAAGACTCAAAGACAGAATCCTGCCCTAAAACCTCAGGCTAGAAGGGGAGACAGGCTCATAAACTTAGCTGTGATACAATACAGTGGTCAACAGTGAGAAAACCTAACCTGCTCTGCAGCAGGTCAGAGGAGGCTATTACCCAACTGTTTCAAATGCTCTTCTTTAGGACACTATTATAGCATTTCTTTGTTTACTTATCACCTGTCTTCCCCCATTAGAATTTTTTTTTTTAATGTTTACTTATTTTTGAGAGGGAGAAAGAGAAAGCATAAGCAGGGGAGGGGGAGAGAGAGAATTCAAAGCAGGCTCCAGGCTTAACTGTCAGCATACTGCCCAACGCGGGGCTCATTCCAAGAACCACGAGATCATAACCTGAGCTGAAGACACTTAACTGACTGAGACATCTAGGTGCCCCCTGCCCACGTCTAGAATCTAAGCTCTACAAGGCAAGGATTCTATCATGTTCACTGTTTTACCTCCTACTTCCTGAAACACTGGTGGGCAGAATAATTGCCTAACATATTTGAATGAATGATGTCCAACAAGCATTCATAATTAATGAACCAATGTCAATTTGGAGAGCCTCTAATTGCATGTGCAAGATCCTATTCAATATTTGGTAAAAGGAGGCATCAAGGTACAGGACAAAGATTAATGCTCTGCCACTTGGATGTCTGTGTGACTTAAGGCAAGTTAACTGATTTTTCTAAATCTTAGTTTACTTTTCTGTAAAGTGTGGACATAATTAGTACATGCCAGGGCTACTGGGAAGTTCAGAGATAAAATAAGTACAATGGCTGACACTGTAGAGAGAATCAACTGGTAGCATCTACCTGCAAGGTAATGTGGGTGAATCTAACCAAAATTTAAAATGTGCACATTCTTTGACCCAGTACACTCCACTTTTAGGAATCTCTGTTGCCACAGAATCTTAGGCATGCACAAGGATGTATGGTATAGGGATTTTCTCTGCAACACTGCAAAAAAATCTATAAAGCTTAAAATATCCATCAGTAAGGGGACTAAACTATATCAAAATGTCTAGCATAAGGCCTAGAATTTAACAGATACTTTAGAAGGTGATCAAATCTATAAAAGTAATATAATAACAACAATAGTGCCATGTACTGGAACTTCTGCATTTCTTCCTCACAATAACCCTATGAGATCATACCATTCCAGACAAGGAAACAGACTTTTAAAAGAAAGTAAACTTGCACTACTATCAATGTCAACATGCTGATTATTTTAGTATACTGTAATTTGCACAATGTCACCATTAGGGGAAAATGGGCAAAGTGTACAAGGGATCTATCTGAATTGTTTCTTAAAACTGCATGTGGAGCTACATTGATCTCAATACTCTTTTCTAATTAAAAAAAACCAAACAGGGTCACTTGGGTAGCTCGGTTGGTTGGGCGTCTGACTCTTGGTTTTGGCTCAGGTCATGAACTCACTCACGTTCGTGAGTTCGAGCCCTGCATCAGGCTCTGGGCTGGTGGTGCAGAGCCTGCTTGGGAATTCTCTGTCTCTCCCTCTCTCAAAAACAAACATTTAAAAAACCCAAAAAACAACCAAACAAACAACCTAACCTATTCTGGCTAGCAGCTAGAGGATACAAACCCAGTCGGGTTGATTCCAGAGTTCACCTGTAACCACTGTCACTACACACAGAAGATGTGTGCAGTGACAGATGCTCCTTGAAGAACATCTCAAGAATTGACATATCTTGAGATGCCTGGGTGGCTCGATTGAGCATCTGACTCTTGGTTTCAGCTCAGGTCACGATCTCATGGTTTGTGAGATTGAGCCCCACAGTGGGCTCTGTGCTGACAGCTCAGAGTCTGCTTGCGAATCTCATTCTCTCTGCCCCTCCCTGTTCGTGCTCTCTCTCTCTCTCTCAAACTAAAAAAACTTAAAAAATATATAGATTAAAAAAAAACTGACATCTCTTCTTTCCTTCTATTCTCTCTGCAGCTTTTCCATGCTTAAACCGTCATCTCTTCCTCATCCCCAAACCTGCATGTTCATTCCTGCTTTTGCCCTCTGCTTAAGTTTTTCTGTCTGCCTTGCATATCTTCATTTCACTACCTCAGTTCTTCAATTCCTTTTACTTCACATTACAGATCTTTCCCTGGTCACCTCACGAAACAGTGCTCTGACCCTCTTTTCAATTCAGATTTAACGTTTCCTGGAGTACCCACTAATCAGTAATACTATATTCACCTAATTACTTTCAGAACTACTCATATGCACCCTGCATCAACACGTGTTCTATCATTTTCACTAAACCATAATCTCTCTAAACGAGGGGATGTTTATAAAGTGCTTGACCCGGTGCCTGGCACATAGGAAGTACTCAATAAGCAGAAGTGCTTAAAAGGAACATAAAAAACGCAAAAATGACTGGAGGTGAGGTTTTTGTTTTTTTTTTTTAATTTGAGAGCAAGAATCTCAAGCAGGCTCTGAGCTGTCAGCACGCAGCTCAATGCAGGGCTCAAACTGACAAACTGGGAGACTATGACCTGAGCTGAAACCAAGAGTCAGATGCTTAACCGCCTTGGCCACCCAGGTGCCCCATGTCATGATGCTTTTTAGATTCCTTTCCCTACTCAAGACAACAGAAACCATAAAATCCTTTTAGTAAAAATGTTTTGTCACAGCAATAAATATGTATTTGTAAGACTGTCAGAAGAAACAGATTACTTCCAACATTATACAGTTCATTTGCTGGCACCTCCAAAAGAGAATCACTCAAGAGAATGAAATCCATTGCAAGGTTCATAAGAAAAATATTCTGACAGTAAAAGTTGCTGGCAGATTTTTCTACAGGTAGTTGTTGGTCAACCTGAGGTGTGTGAATAAAAACAATGGCATCCTGATGTTGGGTTCATACACGTACTCTTAGAAACAGCTTACCCCTCCCGTGGGGTAAAATGTAGCTTCTTAGGTCTGCAAGAATTCAGGCTGTACTCGAGCCACTTTCCGGAATTCTTTAGTGTGAGTCTTAGGGCACTGCATCTCACACCAGCTAATGGGAACCATCTGGACACCTGGAAGGGAAGAGCTGGTGTTGGAGCTGGGACCCCTAATGTTTGCTTAAGACCCTTCCCTCTTCAGCTGGGTATGAACGGAAGTGTCACCAAGCTACCTAGCGAACCTCACCTCATACAGAAAAAGCCTGGTTTGTTCCACTGACTAAGGCAGTGAGTCCCCCCTCAGACCTTTCAATTATACAAGAATCATTCCAATATCTGAGTAGTATCAACACTCATACTGCTGCCTAAATAATTAAAAAACAAGGGTAATGAAAGAAAACAGTGGACTGATCCCAAACCATTACTCTTAGGGAAAGGTAAGCATGTGGAAGAATGGACCAACTCACCCGATTCACTGTGGGCCACCACTACCCCAAGCTCATTTTCAGCAGTGGTCAGAAGGTAATTGGACTGTGCGTCACCCAGGGAGATCTAGTCATGTAACACTGGTTAAGGAAAATGACAGGTTTTAAGTCTTCCCTCCCACAGCCACTTGAGCTACTTTCCACTTCTACTTCTTGTTTGACAAAGGACCACAAGACTGCTAGGAATAAAGGATACCACTTTGGCTAGGACAATGTCACCTGGGCGGAAACTCTTATAAATCTCAACCTGTAAAGAAAGAACAGGAATGTTAAATGAAAGCTCTATATCAGATCCACATGAAACTATTAATCCCTCTAGTAAAGCCAGTCTACTTTTTAACCCCACAGGGTGGAAGTCATCATTAGTCAAGTCAATCAACAACTTTTATTGCTTCTACAGCATTATCACATAAATGAAAGATTTTTAATTCAGTAACCTGAGCAGGAATCTGACTAGGACAAAAGGTACTATAGTTGGCTCTGAAAGAATCCAGAGTAAGTCTGAGAGAATAACAATGAATAAACACCTGGCTTCAAAGGCAAGGAGTAAACTAGTCCCTTCTGGTCAATAGAGCAAACAAAAATCCTAGGGAGAGGAAAGGGACAGTGAATTCCACACTTTTCAGTAGGAAATAAATTCCCTGCATCTTTGGATCCACATTCCCACAGATGTTTGAAATTCACTGGAATAATTTAAGGACTGACATTCCTCAGACCATCCGAGAGGAAAAAAAAAACAAAAAACAACAACAAAAACAAACAGAACCAACCAACAACCTTGTCTTTTTCAGTAGCTCGGACATCTTCCTTGCTGTAAAAAAGAATTAACAGAAAGATTAATCATCTATGAGAAAGATAAGAGAAAGAATTATCCTGCAAAATCCTAGTAGACAAAGAGCTACAAGAGTAGAGAGAACAAGTCATAACTGGAACCCAAATGCCACCAAGAGAAGCAGGGTGGAAGCATTCCCAGTCCTCACCCAGAGGAGAAAACCACATTCCCATTCTTGGGTCACACAGAGCAGCTGTAGCAATACCTCTGACTAGAGAAAAGCAGATCAGATTTGGCAGGAAAGGATAAGGAACTTTGCTGCCTTAGGGGAGCTTGAACAGAAGCACTATAGAACCACATGGAATTCTGAGGGTGGAAAGAGCCTGAGAAGTTAAATTATCTAGCTCACAAGTATTGTTTGTCCTTTCTCAAAAAACCTGTAGGAAAAAAAACTACTATTTCACCCACTAACCATTTCTTTTTTTAAAAATTTTATTTTTAAGTGGGGCGCCTGGGTGGCTCAGTTGGTTAAGTGGCCAACTTCAGCTCAGGTCATGATCCCACAGTTCATAGGTTCGGGCCCCGCATCGGGCTCTGTGCTGACAGCTCAGAGCCTGGAGCCTGCTTCAGATTCTCTATCTCCCTCTCTGCCCCTCCCCCACTCCTGTTCTTTCTCTCTGTCTCTCTCAAAATTAAATAAACATTAAAAAAAAAAAGAAAAAGATTTTATTTTTAAGTAATCTCTACACCCAGCATGGGGCTCAAACTCACAATGCTGACATGAAGACCTGCATGCTTTACTGAGCCAGCCACGTACCCCTTACCCACTAAGCTTTTTCATGTCTTACAATCCTTTAAAATGTATTAAATTCAAGAAAGGAAGAGATTTCCTAAAATGACTTCTACTTAGTTTCAATGTTTGTTTATTTTTTGAGAGACAGAGTGAGCAGGGGAGGGGCAGAGAGAGGGGGAGACACAGAATCTGAAGCAGGCTCCAGGCTCCGAGCTGTCAGCACAGAGCCTGATGTGGGGCTTGAAACCACAAACAGCAAGATCATATCCTGAGCCAAAGTTGGATGCTTGACCAATTGAGCCACCCAGGTACCCCCTTCTACTTTGTTTCATACGAGTCATCCTGTACCACTAGTCTCTAGCTTAGCTCAATTCTTTTCATTTTAAAGCTCGATCTTGTGAGGGCACCTGGGTGGCTCAGTCGGTTAAGCATCTGACTTGTCCCAGGTCATGATCTTGTGGTTAGTGGGTTCGAGCCCTGCGTTGGGCTCTGTGCTGACAGCTCAGAGCCTGGAGCCTGCTTCAAATTCTGTGTATCCCTCTCTCTCCCTCTCTGCCCCTCTCTGCTCATGCTCTTTCTCTCTCTCTAAAATAAATAAACATTAAAAAAAAATTTAAAGCCCGATCTTGTTCGTATTTTCCTTTGTTTCCTAGTTCATACATTATAACATTTTCTTTGGACACTACCTGGAGAGAATCAAAGCACAAAGAGAGAGGCAGGTATAGAAACCATAATGGTTCCTAAAAATTCCAGTCTCCTGTTCTATCCTATTTCATTCCAGGTGCTGTGGCAAATGTGAAGACACAAATACTTCTTACCGGATAGTTCCTCGAAAAGAGTTCTTAAGTGGTGTGGACCCCACATATAGGATGTGCACTTTGGCAAAGCGCGAATTGATGCTAGAGACCTGTGGAACAGAGAAAAGATCAGCATTAGGGTCTGTGCAGTTGTCAACTCAAGGAGGCAGCATGAAAGTAGGAATTAGGGTGATTTTAATCCAAGCAACCTTACTAATTACAGAATTTAAGATAAGTTGATTCTTACTTAACTCTGCATAAATGATACATATCTAGTGGAACGAGAGTCACTCTGGCCACCTAATAGAGTTACTGAGGGTGTCCAATGAAATGTGGAATAGGTCTTGAAAAACACAGAAGACTAACATAAATAGACACAGGGCATTATAGCAAATCTGGACCTTTAACAGATCTAATTAAGAGTCCTGCAGAGTGGACAGAAGTTAAGTGTACATTTCAGCTACTGCACAATATTTGGATCACTGCCTCTCCAGTAATTTTCAGAATAACACACAAATTTTCTGCTGGAGAAATTTACAAGGAGTGCGACTAAGAGCTACAAGTTAACCTGCAGAAAGTGGGGATGGGCAGGGTGTATTGATGTATTTCAGTTACTGATCAGTACAGCATCAATTTTACTTCCCCTGAAACACTTTAAAAGACCTGAAATTTAACAGGAATGAGAGAGGATAAGGCCTTTTGCTTTGCTGCAGGAAAAGATCTCAGCTTCCAGATGTTAAAAAATAGGCCTCCTAGGGGCACCTGGGTGGCCAAGTCGGTTAAGCATCTGACTTCAGCTCAGGTCATGATCTCGTGGTTTGTGAGTTTGAGCACCGCATTGGGCTCTGTGCTGACAGCTCAGAGCCTGGAGCCTGCTTCAGATTGTGTCTCCCCCTCTCTCTTCCCCTCCCATGCTCATGCTCTGTCTCTGTTTCTCAATAATAAATAAACATTAAAAAAAAATAATAAAAATAAAAGGCCTCCTTATTACCTTTTGGCACCTGTTTCCCAAACTGCATACTCAGGGACTCGGCTCAGTGAAAGAAGTATGCGTGCCTGAACTTGGCTGCCTTGATTATTATTCCAGAACTTTCTAGGCCAGTACAGTCCAGTAACACTGTGATGATAGTGTACTGTACTGGCCAACAGGGCAACTGCTAACTATATGCAGCTAGTGAGACTGAGGAAATGTATTTTTAATTTTAATTCATTTCAATTTAAGTGGCCATATATGGCTAGTGGCTACCATATTAGATAGTGCAGTTCAACAAGATCATGATTTTACCACCGAACAGGTTTCCTAAGCAGGGAGGTTAAGACCAACTTACCTTACAGGTTACAATAGCGCCCACATCTGGTAGTAATTGGGATTCTGTTTCTCTCATCACAGAAATGACAGGAAGCTATAGAGAGAAGAATAAAATATGAGTATCCTGACTAGGCCTTGCATAAAGGTATTTGTGGCTTAAGAGTAATGTAGCAATGCCTTGGTCCACAGTTGAGGTCACGAGGGCAGGTGGACTACAGACTTATTTGTGCCCAGAACAGATAGCCTTAGAAATTTTAGGCAATAGGAGGGTCAAGAGACCATTCTTCAAGGGAAGAATGCTGTTAGAGTGTATAGTCTAGTCTAATAATTTCAGATCAATTCTAACAAGCTTTTTGGTGATTTTCTTGGAATATAACCAATTGTCTGGAATCATGGATAACTGGATTCTTTCCTCCAAAGTTATACTACTTCCTTCTCCTTTTCATTTTATTGTACTGGCTAGAATTTCCAAATAAATGTTATATAATAATGGCCATACTTGATTAATGCTATTTTAAGGAAATACTTGTAGTTTTCTCCTTGAGCATGGTATTGGCTGTTGCTGTAAGACAGATATTTTGAGCCTCATCTTTTAGCAATCTCTCCCTTGTTCACTAAGCTTCAGTTCCCTGGCCTTCTTTCAGTTTCACTAATTCATTAAATATCTTCTCGTGTCGGGGCGCCTGGGTGGCGCAGTCGGTTAAGCGTCCGACTTCAGCCAGGTCACGATCTCGCGGTCCGTGAGTTCGAGCCCCGCGTCGGGCTCTGGGCTGATGGCTCAGAGCCTGGAGCCTGCTTCCGATTCTGTGTCTCCCTCTCTCTCTGCCCCTCCCCCGTTCATGCTCTGTCTGTCCCAAAAATAAATAAACGTTGAAAAAAAAAAAAATAAAAAAAAAAATATCTTCTCGTGTCAGGATTTCTATTCAACCTGTTTTTTTTTTTTTTCTATCAAGACTGTGCTCTACCCACCCACCCAACTCTTTATTTATCCTTTAGATTCAGTTTAAATGTCACTTCTGCTGACTAGGGTGGATCTATTACATATTTTCATGATAACCTGTAATATTCTTTCATTGATTTTTTTTTTTCTTAACATTTATTTATTTTTGAGAGACTGAGGAGACAGCATGAGCAGGGGAGGGGCAGAGACAGAGGGAAACACAGAACCTGAAGCAGGCTCCAGGCTCTGAGCTGTCAGCACAGAGCCCAGCGTGGGGCGCAAACCCACCAACTATGGGATCATGACTCAAGCTGAAGTTGGATGCTCAATCGACTGAGCCGCCCAGGCGCCCCTGTAATATTCTTTCAAAGCAGTCATCACCTATGTAGTCATACACTCATTTGAACATTTACTTGTTTACAATTTGTGTCTGTGCCCCTTGATAGCAGGGACCATGTGTATTTGGCTCATTACCATTTCTCTAGAGGTCAACACTGTGCCTGGCACATAAAAATGCTCAATAGATATCTATTCCTATGAAATGAACAAACTTGGAAATGTTAAAGGGGTGCCTGGGTGGCTGAGCTGGTTAAGGGTCTGACTCTTGATCTTGGCTCCCTCTCTCTCTGCCCCTCTCCCACTGACCTCTCTCTCTCAAAAATAAACATTAAAAAAATGTTAAAGACATTGTCAAAATTGATTGAATAAAAAGTCTCTCATTTTACATATGAGGAAGAATCTAAAAACCAGAGAGTTCAAGTTTCTAACCTAAAGCAGAACCAAGGTCTAGATAGTCAGTACCTAAGTGTTCTAATTCTGAATCCTCTTTCTACTATGCTACTGGTCTTTTTCTTTTAATGTTTATTTATTGATTTTTTTTGAGAGAGACAGAAAGAGCGTGTATGAGCTAGGGGAGGGGCAGAGAGAGAGGGAGAGAGAGAAATCCCAGCCAGGCTCTGTGCTGCCAGTTCAGAGCCCGATGGGGGGCTTGAACCCAGGAAATGTGAGATCATGACCTGAGCGGAAAACAAGGATCGATGCTCAACCAACTGAACCACCCAGGCGCCCCTGCTATGCTACCTGTCTTTAAGCTGCTCCCTCAAAGACTGTTTATCTGATGCTGGGCTAATCCTGGACGAGCCTCTGGAGCTAGGCAGGAGAGTATCAGGCATTCAGCAAACATTACTGAGCATTTACCTTGTGCTAGGCACTAAAGGTATGGTAGTGAGGCTTGCTTTCATGCAACTTAGAGTCTAGTGGGGAGCATGTAACTGGGTGTTTAATTATATGTAAAAATTAAGGCACGGAAGGACAGAAATTTAGTTCTTTGTTAAAGAGTCTAACGAAACAAAACAAAAGCTCACAAAACTCTTATCCTTGACTAGTGGGTCTAGGAGAGCTTCTCTGATAAAATGATGCCAGAGAGGCTATCTGAAGGATAGGTAGAAACGAAATAGGCTGAGATGAGCGTGTTCCAAACAGATGGCGTGCGTACAAAGGCTCTGTGGCAGGACAGAGCTTAGCCCATTAGTGGCAGTGAAAGAAGCCAGTGTGACTAGACTGCAGAGAGTGAGGTAGGGATAAAGCGAAACGCAGCCGGAGAGGTAGGCGACCTTCGGACAAGATTCAGCTCACTGCGGGGCTGAGCGTGCCTCTGCTCGTCCCCTAACTTCCTTCTGTGAGTGTCAGCACTATAACCAAGCGAGACCAAGTGCCCAGCAGTGGAGACCTCAGCTTCAAGAGACCAGCTGTTCTACTGCCGGGGCACTAAAGACGCGCCCGCAAATCAAAAGAAGCCTAAAAGAAAGGAAGAGAAGGAGGAAATGGGGAAGTTGCCCCTTTACCGCTCCGTTCTCGCTGCTCTTCGTCAGGCAGCCAGCAAGCGACGAAAAGATGTAGCCGTGTCGCGTGTAAGTGCCGCTGCCCGGGCTGCCCTCCTCCAAGTTACACAGACGTTCGCCTGAAGAAAAATGCTGCATCAGTGACGGGTGCCCAGAAGGTGTTAGCCATCCAGCCTTCCAGCCTCTGTCTCATCCAGAATTCGCTCTGGGCCCCGTACACTTACCCGGAATGCAGTACCTCACGGGTGGCGCCATGACTGCCACAGGAGGGAAACGAAGTCTACTTCTCATTGGCTAAAGTATAGGACTAGTTCTGCAGTAAAAAACGCGTCAATTGGTATGATTTGTCACGTGATCATCGGAGCCTCCGGGAAACTTTATTTCCCAGGTTACCCCGGGACGAGTCCGGGGGCGGGGCTCCGACACGCCTGCGCTTGCGCTTGCGCCTGTGGTCCAGGATGGGCTGGCGGCGGGTCCCAGGCTGCTGGCTGGTGCTGGGGTTGGTAGAGGATGGTTGGTTGGGCTGAGTCGGGCCCGGCCGGGTTGCGGAGCTGGAGGGGGTGACAGGGAACGGCGGCGGAGGCTGCGGGGTTCCATTTGGCTGACTGGGGAGTCGGCAGGCGGCAGGTAAGAGCGGAGCCGCGGACTTTGCTCCCCAGTCTTGCCCTTTTTTCTAGGGTCGGGCCCTGTTTGGGGCCTTTTTGCGAGTCCGGGTTCCTGTTCTCTCCTTGCTCCGCCCAGCACGGCCGTGCCCAGCCTGGCGGAGTGCACCCTCCGGGCAGCTGTAAAGCGTGGAGCATGGACGGAGGCCAACCCAACTTGCCCATTTCACAGATTTGGAAACTCAGATCCAGAGATAGGATTTAACTTGTTCAGGATCCTCGTAGATAGTTCAAGGTAGAGCCCAAACCGGAACCCAAGGTTTTTTTACTTCCAGTCTTTCGCACTTTGACCACGCCTCCCTCGTTCAGAAATAAAGACTTTTTGTGACTGCAGCTTCAGATCTTGCAGTCGGATCCTCGCAAACGGAGCTCAGGTCATGTGGGCCCATCCTTAACTTTTTCAAGCATATGTTAGTTCGGAACGAAAGTCTGCACATGAGTAGAATGCTACTCTTACTGATGATTGACAACTATTGCTTAAGACAGCAAACATCCTGAGAGCAGCATCTTTGTCCACTTGAGATTTGCTATGACTTTCATTTCAGTTTCCCTTGCCTTTTGGTTGCTTTGGAACCTAACCTGTGCAAACCCTCCAGCCCCCACCAATCCAGTTTCCCCTTGGAAAACAGATGGTGACTTAGAGCCTTGGAAAGAGGGGAGTGCTATGGCCTTCAATCCCCTCTAATCTGGTGCCAGAAGTCACTATGGTCTGTGGTTACTACCGAGGGATCAGAGTGCTAAGGGCTTGTGCTTGGGGTGGAGGTGAAGCTCTGCTTTGCTCTGTTTTCTCCCATGTTCACGCTCTTGCCACAACACACACAAAATCACAATTTTTTGAATTCTGCTGTGGTTCAATTTCCTGAGAAATGAGGAACTCTGTATGTTCAAGTGTGGCCCCATGGGCCAAATATCTCTTCCCTGGCATCTCCATACCCCCTAAACCCCACTAGCTAAAATGAGCGACAGGGGGTTGGCTTCAGACCCCTCACTCAAATCTGATCTGTAGCTCTACAAACTTTCAGTTCACATGTTTGGGTTCATTTCTGGTTGGATTTGTTTTATAAAATCCCTTTAAGCTCTTAAGTGCTGTGATTCTAATGGTTTCTATTGCTTTTTACTGATCATGAAGAATGACAGTAGCAGATACTTATTTAGTGTTACCACATTGGCAGGAGTGCACTTGCTGCTATTTGTAAGCACAGATAGACATCTGATCAACCTCACCATTTCTGCATCCTCCGTTCATTCAATAAGTACTTATTGAGTATTTCTGTGAGCCAGGTATTGTGCTAAGCATTTGTAACTATTTCATTTATACCTTAACCCAGTGTATATATAGAATCTTAAAGGATTAGAGCTGGACAGGACCTTAGCATTTAACTCTACCCTGTCACTGAATGGAAACACAAGGAAATTGAGTTCTAGCAGGGTTGGGTGATTTGCCCAAGGTCACAGAACTACTTAAGGGCAGAATTGAACCCTAAGTAATGATGTTATGGGATAGATGAGAGTTGGTAAGTCTAGTCCTTAAGGCAGGCATTTCCTATACAGTCAGGAATTCCAGAGGTGGTTGAGAACAATATGGGAGGTGGAGAATCTGAAAAGGAATGTTTCTTGTTTTTGGAGACAGGAGAAATGGCATATAATTCATGTTTATTAAAGGTGAGGAATGCATCTTATTTGCAAGTTAATGCTATAAAGAGTATTTTAGCAAATAGGAAACTTTCCATTAGCCACCATAAGGGAATGAACAATGGCGTGGACAGTCTACGTCACTTGGATTTGTTGTGAGGTAAAATTTTTGGCTCACTCTTACATTTGACTCTGGCTGTACACTATTTTGAAAAATCATGCTTCAAGGGGTGCCTGGGTGGCTCAGTCGGCTAAGTGTCCAACTCTTCTTTTTAAAAAGTTTTTATTAACATTTATTTATTTTTGAGAGTGAGAGAGACACAGAGCGTGAGCAGGGAAGGGGCAGAGAGAGGGAGACACAGAATCTGAAGCAGGCTCCAGGCTCAGCTGTCGGCACAGAGCCCAATGCAGGGCTTGAACTCACGGGCCGTGAGATCATGACCTGAGTTGAAGTTGGACGCTTAACCGACTGAGTCACCCAGGCGCCCCACTAAGCATCCAACTCTTGATTTCAGCTCAGGTCATAAGCTCATGGTTCGTGAGTTTGAGCCCCATGTCAGTCTCTTTGCTGACTATGTGGAGCCTGCTTGGGGATTCTGTCTCTCCCTCTCTCTGCCCCTCCCTCCTCAAAATAAATAAATTAAACTCAAAAGGAAAAAGAAAATTCATGCTTCAGGTCATATCATGGTTCTAACAAACAGGACTCCAACTCGGGAAGTAGGAAGGTTGAGTTTTTACTTTCTCCCTTTCTACACCGCTCCTTAATTCTCTTAGCTCCTAGGAGGTGATGGGAATGGCCAGTTTCTTCATCCTGATGCAGAGAGTAGGTCCTTACTGAATCATCATCTCTCTTTCTCTGTTAGCCTTGTCTGCTGGATTCCTCTTTGCCTTAGGTCATTTACAGAACTTGTAGAAGGAGGTTACAAAGTGTTTTCTTTGAAAGGTCTCTTGTGATAAGCCAGTGTGCAAGGAGAGTACCTTGCTCCAGTTACTGAACGGAAACCATCCCTACAGTGGAGCAGCCTCCTCCAGTTTCTGTTGGGTTTTGAGCTGCCTTTTAAATAAGTCAGTGGAGTTGCTGAGGACACAGTAGCCCTAGGGGGAAATCGGATAATTTCTTTTCTGGTAAGGGCTTTAATCTGCAGAATTGATGAGACTATCATCAACGGAATCCATGACTTTAGTTCTGGACATTACCTGGGCAGCTGACCTCCCATGGCTATTGGGTGAGGTAGAAATCACATAGAGGAGAAGGCACTTGCAGAGCTCGGAAGGCTGGTTGGGTAGCTTGGGGCCAAGGGCAGCAGCTGCAGAGAAGACTTGTGAGTATCGAAGTAGAATTGGGCCAAGGAGACTCATCACTGAGAGGATAGGCTCTCTGGTCTCCATGAGCCACAGCAGGAAGGCCCCCCTCCCACTGCCAGTGTTTCCTGCCTGTAGTGTTATTCTGCCGTAAAAACTGAAGTTTTCTTGGCTTTTGTATCCTTGGGGTGGGGCTGGGACTGGAATTGGAGACAGAGCATCTTATGTCATGCAGAGGGTAGCTGAGGTGTCCTGACAGAAGACAGGGACTCTCATGCTACCAGGTTGGGTCTGGTGGCCTGTAACATCAGCTCAGAGGAAGTAAGAAAGAGGAATATCTTTTGCTAAGACTCAGTACCAGGGAAGATCTAGATGTAGGATCAACATATGATGTACCCACTCCCCCATTGGCCATTCCTTGGTGAAGAGCAATTGTTAGGAGGTGGGTCATTGGTCTAGAGCAGGCGGGATACCCTGAGAATCCTCTGCTGTGGTGGCCGTGCCCACAGAGGCGTGGTGGCAGCTTTGTGCATGTCAGCTGTGCTCCACCCAATGGTCTGTCTACAAAGAGAACTCCAAAAAACCCTGCTTTGGCTTGGAGCTGCCTGCCTTTCCCTCAGCCTTTTACTGTGGTTGGCCCCTTACTCTAGGAGTGCATCATTTTGGATTTGCTGTGCGCCCAGTGGTGTAATGTAAGTAGGACTTCTGCACGCTCAGAACCTCCAGACCCTACCCCACGTAATCTGGTTGGGGCATTGGCACCACCCATTCCCTTGAGAAGTGGAGTGACTTCCTATGTCTCACAGCTGGTGACTGGCCCAGCTGGGCCTTAGGTCTTTGCCTTTAAGCTGGTGCTCTGGGCCTCCTCCCTGGTGGGGTAGGGAGGGACAGGACCAGAGTGGCTTCTCACAATGGTATGCTCTCCTAGGAGCCATGCGGGGCCAGCGGAGCCTGCTGCTGGGCCCCGCCCGCCTCTGCCTGCGCCTGCTTCTGCTCCTGGGCTACAGGCGCCGCTGCCCACCTCTGCTCCGGGGCCTGGTACAGCGCTGGCGCTATGGCAAGGTCTGCCTGCGCTCCCTGCTCTACAACTCCTTTGGTGGCAGTGACACCGCTGTCGATGCTGCCTTTGAGCCTATCTACTGGCTGGTGGACAACGTGATCCGTTGGTGTGGGGTGGTGAGTGATGCCCAGGGAGCAGGAAAAGGGACGTGTTGGGGTAGCAGAAGGACATGAATCTGATGGACCCACACTGGGTTTGGGACCCATACCAGCCCCCTACCCCAGGGAAATTCCCTAGTCTACTCTTGGTGTTGGCAAACTCTCACTGCCTACCTGACCTCACTGGTGCTGGCAGGTGTTCGTGGTGTTGGTGATCGTGCTGACCAGCTCCATTGTGGCCATCGCCTACCTGTGTGTCCTGCCTCTCATCCTCCGAACATACTCAGTGCCACGGCTCTGCTGGCACTTCTTCTACAGCCACTGGAATCTGATCCTCATCGTCTTCCATTACTACCAGGCCATCACCACTCCACCTGGATACCCACCCCAGGTGGGTCCCCACAGGAGCATACCGGAAGGAGAGAGCTGCAGGCTGCGAGAGCCAGTCCTAGGCGTGGGGGAGCGAGAGGGCCTTGGTATCTTTTAAGGTACCCAGCTTCACTGCCACGGTTGTCACGATGCTTTTCTCCCTTTGCACAGGGTAGGAATGATATCGCAACGGTCTCCATCTGTAAGAAGTGTATTTAC